AGATGTGTATAAGAGACTCACCTCAGACTGTGCCAAAGTACTGAACGTTCATAGATCTTCACTCAGAAAAAAATGAGTAATTTTTTAACTACACCCACCCACAGCACGAGCAGAGAGTGGGCTAAGCATTGCACGGATACGCCCTTTTGTCGGGCAAAACTGGGTCGCGATGACTTAAATGAGGGCAAAAACTGCGTCAGTTTTTGGACAAAGTCTCAATAATTTCTCCGCGTGCTCATTTGACTAAATTTTTCGTTCTAGTTGACGTTATAGCGTAGAAGTTTTAGTTCGATTAGAGGCTTTAGCGTAGAAGAGAACATATGCAGCGAGTGCAGCTTAAAGCTGAAGCCACTCGCTATAACTGAAGTGTCAGCGCGGCAGCGTCCAGCGTCCGGTGAGGTGTCAGCTCGTGTTAAGAGCTGCTTATGCTAACTGCTGTGCATGCAGCAACACTAAGTGCAATAACAGCAATATTTGCAGCTGCAGTGAGAATAACAGAAATGCACGGAGCAGCAATACGACCAGCAGCAGCAGTAACGCCTGCAGCTGCAGTGAGAACAACAGCAATGCACGGAGCAGCAATACGACCAGCAGCAGCAGTAACGCCTGCAGCTGCGGTGAGTGCTGCAGCAAAGCGTGAAGCAGCAGTGCGTATAGCAGCAAAGTTACGCAGCAGCATCAGCAATACGAGCAGCAACAGCAACGCGTGCAGCTTAAGCAACAGCACACGTCACCCCTCACACAATGTCTAGCTCATTTGAACTTAGAGGAGAACTTTCGCCGGCCGATGTAAAACTTTCTTTTTTCACTTGATAAGCGAAAACTTCGACGGGGAAACTTCGGTTGCAAGTTCACAGTGGCTGTTGTCGTCTTTGAAACAGTAAAAATAATTCAGGAAATTTTTAGCAAGTTCATGCGCGCCAGAAGCTGCAGTGAGAACAACAGTAGTGCACGGAGCAGCAATACGACCAGCAGCAGCAGTAACGCCTGCAGCTGCAGTGAGAACAACAGCAATGCACGGAGCAGCAATGCGACCAGCAGCAGCAGTAACGCCTGCAGCTGCAGTGAGTGCAGCGGCGAAGCGTGAAGCAGCAGTGCGTACAGCAGCAAAGTTACGCAGCAGCATCAGCAATACGAGCAGCAACAGGATCAAAGCATGCAGCAACAGCAACGCGTGCAGCTTCAGTAATACGTACAGAAACAGCAGCAATTATGCGTGCAGCTTCAGCAACAGCACACCATCCCTCATACACAACCCTCACACGTCACCCCTTACACGTCACCCCTCACACAATGTCTATAGTTCATTTGAACTTAGAGGAGAACTTTCGCCGGCCGATGTAAAACTTTATTTTTTCACTTGATAAGCGAAAACTTCGACGTGGAAACTTCGGTTGCAAGTTCACAGTGGCTGTTGTCGTCTTTGAAACAGTAAAAATAATTCAGGAAATTTTTAGCAAGTTCATGCGCGCCAGTGGACGAGCGGCCACCGCACGCAAGTTGATGCTCGGTCACCGCACGCAAATGACGTTACAACAAACGTTAAACATATTGATATATATGACAAACATATTATCAACAAATGTTAAACATATTGACGTTACAACAAATGCTAAACATATTATCCAAGATTCCTTTCTTTTTGTAAAGTTTCAGTGAAACAAAAGATGCTGAAGGCAATATATGCATGCAGTGAAGTATTGAGAGAAGTATTTGCTTCTGGAATTGTGAAGACGGATGGCTGGCCGAAATATGCAGCGTCGACATTTAGCAGGTTTATAGTACATTTGCATCATCGCCATTAAGGTTAACATGAAGGAGATTTGCTTTGGTACAAAAATAAAATAGGATTGATCATGTAAAAGCTTTCTGATTTACTCAGCCACATACTGTAAGCCAATTACCAGAAAGGCATTTCCTTGCACAGCCTCGAGAACACAGTGGAGAATTGGTAAATTTTTTTGCACAGCCACAAATGCACATTGCACAGAAAGAAACAAAAGCTCGTCGCAAGAGCTCATTGCACATTAATACAGGCACATTTCACAGATGTATTTTTTTGATAAGAAATTATTGAATTACGTAGTCAATGTAAGCTCAGCTAGGGCAACCTTTGCCCCAGGAGTCCAGTGCCCCCCGGTGTCGCAACAAATACTCGACAAAGCCTGCCACTTGCATCAACGTGCGTTAGGGGAAACAAAATCGGAGGAATGGGAGAGGTCGGGGAACAGAGTCGGGGAAATTTGGGTTGGGGAAACGGTGTCGGTGAATGTTAGGCTGATGGAATGGGGTCGGGGGAATGGGGTTGACGGAAATGCTTGACGCGTTGAGTTGCAAATTGAGGGCTAGCTTGCGACAGTAAGCTGCCAACCCTGTTGGTTGTCTAGGTGCTTTTGTTGCACTCACCCTATGAGTGGGTCTTGGTACTCACCCTTGTTTGTGGTCGAAAAGTTGCGCAGAATATATTGCTCGCTGTCGAGGGTTTCGAAAGCCGGGCCGGGGTCCCGCACTTCCAAAAATCCACCCGCCTTCTTAGAATCCGTTTTTCTTGGGGAAGCACCTCCTCTTATTTTGGGCTTCTGTCCCCTCGGAGGGGTCGGGCTGTGGTCCCGGGGGTCGGGATACGAAGAATTTTTGGGCGGACGTCGAGCGGAAGCACAACGACGTAGGGGCACGGGCGAGTCTCCGGCACACTGCCCATCACTGGGAAACATGGGATCGTCGACCGCCAGCAGCTTACCACAGGAAGGAACTTTACGTAGAAAAATGTTGTATACATCGTCGGCAGCTTCAAGGGGCGTGATTTTTTCCTGATAGTTGATGTTCGCGGCAGATCCTGTTCCGCTGGCGGGAGCTGAGTCCTCGTCCTTTTCCTGCCGACGTCTGACGTGGGGACGTGTGGCGTTTTTTGAGCTGGGCACTTTGCATGACTGCGATCGGCGAGTCTGTTGTGCCGCCTTAAGTCTTGCTCTGGGACTGTTGTTGCCGCTGCCCAGCGATCCTTCGGACGCCTGGCGAGCTTCCTGTAGCAGTGTCCTGTTTGTGATAGGCCCTGGCATCGCATGCGTACCTGGAGCTTGTTTATCGTCGTCCTGAGAGGAACTACCGTCGGTGGGGATGTGGCTAGTCTCAGGTTCCCCAGCACCGGGGATGTCATGAGCCGGGGAGCAGAGTGAGCCACTGCGACTTTTTGCAGCGGCGCGCTCTATGAGCGTCGTGTCTGCCACCGTCATCATGTATACAGGAGATGAGTGTAAACAACCTCGTGCACAATGTAAACCAGGGAGCTTAGGCAGACGTAAACACCTTCGCTACAGGCTTCACACGTGCTGGCTGACGCTCAGTGTAAACCAAGTTTTGTGAGGGCGCTTAGCAGCCGCACCGCTTCTCTAGCAACACTGACCCTCACTTCGCTAGCTACCCTCGCCGACAGCCCCTCAGCCACTACGCCCCTCAGCCACTCAGCCAGTTGAGGGAAACAATGCAGCCAGTTTGCCCTCGAGCTGCGATGCTCTCGTTACCTAAATATGAGGGAACTTTTGAGGCGGTGCTCAATAATGAAGTGCATAGTTTACGCGGGCGCGTGAGAGAGATCTACAATATGCTGGCTTAATTACATTTAGTTAGCAAATAACTTAATGGTCAGAATGGTTGGGTTCTTTAATTGTTAATTAAAGAACTCAGGAGTAGTGAATTTCAAACTGTTTTGTAATTATTTAAAAGTATAGCTTATTAGTTGCATAACGACGGACGACGTACATGAGACGTCTTGTTGCACGTACAGCAACGTTCGCGAGACGTCTTGTTGCACGTACAGCAACGTACGCGAGACGTCCTGTTGCACGTACAGCGACGTACGCGAGACGTCCTGTTGCACGTACAGCGACGTACACGAGACGTCCTGTTGCACGTACAGCGACGTACACGAGACGTCCTGTTGCACATACAGCGACGTACGCGAGACGTAAGTTGCACCTACAGCGACGTACGCGAGACGTCCTGTTGCACATACTGCGACGTACGCGAGACGTAAGTTGCACGTACAGCTACGTGCGCGAGACGTAGGTTGCACGTACAGCGACGTACGCGAGACGTCCTGTTGCACGTACAGCGACGTACGCGAGACGTCCTGTTGCACGTACAGCTAGATGTGTATAAGAGACAGGTACAGCAACGTACGCGAGACGTCCTGTTGCACGTACAGCGACGTACGCGAGACGTCCTGTTGCACGTACAGCGACGTACGCGAGACGTCCTGTTGCACGTACAGCGACGTACGCGAGACGTCCTTCCAAGCACGGTAAGTTGCACGTCACACGTGATGTTGAGGCAAAGTGATGAGCTAACGTCTTATTGTGGTGTCACTGGACGCCAAATTTGCAAAATATTCTAATGTTCGACTTTAACTTTCGTTATGTTGTGATATCAGTCGGGAAGCTTACGCGATTTTGCGATAACAGCAATATAAATGAATAACTAGGTCAGTTATACGGGCTCTATTTCAACTGCCGTATGTTACGGCTGCCGTTAAGGGCACAGTACATACTGCCGTATGTTACGGCTGCTGTTAAGGGCACAGTACATACTGCCGTATGTTACGGCTGCTGTTACGGGCTCCATTCCAACTGCCGCATGTTACGGCTGCCGTAACGGGCTTTATTTTAACAGCCGTAATTCCAGATTGACAAAAAACTGAAGCAAACATTCTTCTCAGTCGTGTTTGTATGAAAATATGAAATAGATTACAGCGCAGTTTTTGAGTTCATTGTTGCGATGCAAGCCTCGTACATGCCACCTATGTTTGAGTGGCTTGCATTTTTCCAACAAGTCTGCTTTGTTTAGAATAGAAAATGTTGAAGTTGGTAGTTTCATCAGAAAAAGTTCGGTCTCAAATGCATCAAATTACTTCATTGGTAAGTCACCTTTCGTGGATTTCAAGTTAGAAGTTTTGAATCATATTAGTTATTAATTGATAGCTTGAGTGCCAATAAATTTATATCACGTGTGGACATTAAGGTAAATATAGGTTCTACATTTCGTTCATTCACAGCCCCGTCGCAGGGTCATAAATTGTGCAAATAGTGACACACTTTCTGATTTCACCAGTGATACGTCCTTTTCCGGGCGAACTGGGTAAGGATGACACACACAAGGACGAGAAGTTCATCGATATTTGGACAGAGTTTCTCAATGTTTATGGGTGCAGCGGCCATGAGCCATACAAATAACTGTAAGGAATGCGTGAATAGCGACAGCTTTGGTCCCCAAACACGAACAGAAGCTGTGCAGTTAACGGCATAAAAATCGAGGTAATCGAGTGGTTAAGATTATCGAGATTGGAGCAGCGAGTTGGGGGTTTGAAACCCAGAATTTCTTATGGAAAATTTAATCGAAATTAGAAGGTTTAGGCGAGTGGTTTAGAATCGGCGACAGGCTAACGTGGCAATATCAAAGCTGACACGACTTTACAATGATACAAATTTTCAACGGGGACAAACAATTTAACGAAATAATATATTAAAATGAAATAAGCTTTTAAACGTTTACAAAGAAATATAGATTAATAAATTTTATTTGGGGATGAAAGATAAACTCAAGTTCGTCATAAAATTGAAATTCATTCGATGAGTATTGTACAAATGGTAATCGTAATCACTACTAAGATAATAATAGATACTAGTTTATTTCACTCGAGAACCGAAAATTTTCCAGGGAGACTAGTGGATGCGAGTTCAGTTCTCTATTATTGCTTGTCGCCAGTCAAGAATAACTTTGTTTAGGATCAAAATTTTGGCTGAACGTAAATCTAAGTGACAAATTATTCACTAAAAAAAAAAAACAGTCAAGACTGAACAGGAGTCTTCAACTCACTTAAACTTAATATGGCGGGGCAAAAGGTAAATAAACTTCAGCGACACTAAAAAACTTGAAAAAGATGACTGCATAATGCATTCCCTGCATTAATATTACGACTTTTTAAACCTTTTGGTTGAAAATTAATGCAGTGATGAGTGACAAAAATGTACACAAGTAGCCCACTTCTCATGCAGCAATCAGAACATTTTTTTTACTCTACGGCTCATGAAGAGTGCAACGACGTGGCACAGCGCTTACGGGCAATCTGACGATTATTCAAGCTTGTAGCTTTGATCGTTTCTTCAGTTTGTAATGCTATAGACTTGCTCAGTGAAACTTAATATAATATTCGAAGTACATTTGCTATTTCTTCATTCACCAAGAATCTACATTTGAGCATGTTTTTTTAATGTCGTCAGTATATTATACGTACTTCAAAATTCAAACTTCAATATTTGCCGATTTTTATTCAGTAAAATCTTACTCGGCCGAAGAAATTTTGAATGAATGTACTTGACAGGAAGAGTGAAGGTTTTTATGCAGAAAATTCATTCTTGTAACTTATTGCTACATGATTTTACATCAATTTACGCAATAAAAGAAGTTTGATTGTCAACAAACAATAGTTTGATGCTGCTGATGCCACTGTAAAGCTTTAAATAACAGCAATCTCAACAATATCTTTCCTAAATAAAAAACATCTACATTCCCATGATTTCAAGTTCTAGGAAGATTCAACAGAAGAATATAACATTCTTGATCAAGAATCTAACAGCAAAAAGTTTATTGGTCTAGAAATCATATGGACACCAAAACACTTTTTTTCGCCTATGCTCGATATAATACTGAGCTTGATCGAAATTTGAAGGTTGGCCGAGTGGTCAAGAATCGGCGACAGGCCAATGTGGCAATATCGAAGCCGACACGACTTTACAGTAACAAAAATTTTCAACGGGGACAATAATTTAACGAAATAATATATTCAAATGAAATAAGCTATCAAACGTTTTAAAAGAATTATAGATTAATGAATTTTATATAGGCTTATGTAAGTAGCATAAACTGGCAGGAGTTAGGCTGATACACGAGCCAGTAAATAGAATAATTCTTCCACCGCAACAATCAGGAGAGTGGACGACACACAAGCCACTAGCACAACGAAATTTGCATTATTTACACGAGCTCTCATTTAGGCAATATTCCTGAGTATAATACAGAAGCACAGGGTGAATTCCTGACGCATCCACGATCTCAGCTTTTATTGCTACCTACACTTAAACGCCCTATAAATAAGATGGGTATTGCTACCTACACTTAAACGCCCTATAAATAAGATGGTTATTGCTACCTACAATTAAACGCCCGATAAATAAGATGGATATTAAAATAGGAGATGCAAGGAGCACCTCAAGTACCAGTAATACTTAAAAAAAGACTCCATTATTCTACATCGCTGGCCTAGCCTGACACTAGCATCAAGGTTAAGATTTGTGGCAAAAATGACGATCATATCATTATTATAGGAGATTATTTCCATACAATAACATTTTTTGCTGAACTTCAATTCTCGGCCAATAGTTTTTCAAAGTTAAAATTTCTTCATCCAAAACTTATATACCTAGTTATTTAAAATATAAGGCGATTCTTATAACGAGACGCCATATTAATGACTATTTACACGGTCATAATTGAACATGAAGAACACGTTCCAAACGGCAGTTGAAGTCAAACTCGGAGAGTTTGTTGAACACTAGAGACTCCTTCACTACGAGTAAACTCATAAATAAAAAGTGTTTAAATAAATATATACCTGGAGAAAATTCGTTTGCAAGAATTACATTGAAATGTATGAAAAAAAAATGAAATTGAAACAACGGCAACGAGACGGACCATCATAAATACAAGCAAGTCAAGGGTTTACTCCACCCTATCAGCATCAAATTTCTGCCACCTATTCTGATATTCGAGCATTATTTTTAGTCCTAAAAACAAATAATGAATGAAATTCCACTATTTAAAAAAACAAATAATGAATGAAATTCCACTATTAAAATTAAAGTAGTAGAGAATCTAGATTGTGTGAAGAAAATCCCGCCTTTGACAGCCCTGCTTGCGGTGTCCACGTGGTTACAACGAATAATTTCTGTACTTTTAACAATATAAATTTATTCAGACCGTGACACAAAACAGGCAAATATGATTTTAAAAGAGGAAGGCAAATATGATTTGAAAATTGTACTTGGAAGCGTCTACAAAAATTTCCAATTAAAAAATTCGGAATTGAACACTAAATTACCAGGTATATTCATTCCATAGGAGTACTAAAAAAAGAGTACTAAGGCCTAAAGTAAGTAAGGGCCTCTAAAGAGCACTAGGTTATGATATCACCTCAGATCTCAACCACTGTCAACTGAGATATAATAAGTTTATTGATGAACAACGAGGTGGCTGCAAAGAAGCTAAAACCTCATGGCACTCGGCATCACATAAATGTTAAATACCTACAAAATATTAAATTAAACGACAGGAACCCTACGGTGACCTACAGAAGCCCTTTTGTAACAGCCCTAAGGTAAGCCACTCTCATCTGGCGCTCAGGAGTGACCGACTGTCTTGACATCCTACGGGGCTGATAACGTAGGGTCAGTTCGTCGAAGCCGCGCTGCTGTCGTCGTCAGGAGGCACGGCTTCGCAGCTGTCCTCGTCAGGAGGCATAATTTGGGCAATGAAATTTGCAAAGTTTTCGTTAGGGGAATTTGCGTGACCGGCGATGAAGGGATGCTCCAGGAGCTGCACGTACGTCGGTCGCTCCTCGTACTTCTTCACGAGTCTGCAAGAAGTGACAAGTCAGGAGGGCTGAGGTGAGGGGGGAGGCTGTGGTGAGAGGGGAAGATGTGGGAGGGGGGATGTGAGAAGGGCAGCAGTAAGGCGAAGAGCCACAAGAGGGGCTGTGAGAGGGAAATTGAGAGAGGCGGTAGTGAGGTGACTTCAATAAATGCTGTAACAAAGAGGAGAAGGCTTTACTTGAGGATAAATGCAGTGAAGGTGAAGAAACTGAGGGGCTTCAATGAGGAGTGTAAAAGATACTATAATAAGAAGACTGCAAGAGGTTGCAGTGGAGCGGCAGTCAGGAAGCCTGAAATGAAGAGTCTGTGTGTGAAGCTGCCGAGAGAGGATTGCGATGGGACTTTGAGAGAGGCGGTGGTGAGGGAGGCTGGAGAAAGAGTACTAAGACGAAGGCTATAGTCAGAGAAATGCAAGAGCAGCTTCTATGGAAGCTAATGACAATGAAAGAACTTTACAAAAACATTTAAATTTCTCACTAAATTCCAGCTCCTCAAAACTCGAGTCCTGAACTTACACGCTGGCTATAAAACTGTGTGCATGCTCCCCGTAGGCAGAGTTCTGCTTAGGTAGTCTGGGAGGATCATCCATGACCACTTGTTTAAGCTGATCAAAGGGCGTGCCCCAGGTCTTGTAGGGGAACTTGCCGCTTGCAATCTCCACGATTGAGATGCCCAGGGACCACACGTCCGACCGGATGCCGTAGCGAGACGGGTCCCCCTGTGGGTCGATGCGCTCAGGCTGCACAAGAAATGATTTCGTTAAGTGCAAGACAGTACACAACACAATTATTAAAGCAAGGAAATGAACTTCTCTAAAAATAGCACAAGGTCCGTATTGGTATTGGGCAAAGAAATAAGAGTAATTCAAAACATTAGAGCAGCAGCACTCACTGCCATGTAGGGCTTGCATCTATCCTGCATTCACCGGCATGTAGAACTGCCATCCAGCCTGCACTCACTGCTATGTAAGGCTGGCATCCAGCCTGCACTCACTGCTATGTAAGGCTGGCATCCAGCCTGCACTCACTGCTATGTAAGGCTGGCATCCAGCCTGCACTCACCTGTCTCTTATACACATCTAGATGTGACTAATGCTAGTTGTGTTAGGTCAAGTCTAAGGCTTAGTAAATTGCAGGTCAAGACTAATGCTAGTTGTGTTAGGTCAAGTCTAAGGCTTAGTAAATTGCAGGTTAAGACTAATGCTATTTGTTTTAAGTCATGTCTAAGGCTTAGTACATTGCAGGTCAAGACTAATGCTAGTTGTGTTGGGTCAAGTCTAAGGCTTAGTACATTGTAGGTCAAGACTAATGCTAGTTGTGTTGGGTCGAGACTAAGGCTTAGTACATTGCAAGACAAGACTAATGCTAGTTGTGTTGGGTCAAGTCTAAGGCTTAGTACATTGTAGGTCAAGACTAATGCTAGTTGTGTTGGGTCAAGTCTAAGGCTTAGTACATTGCAGGTCAAGACTAATGCTAGTTGTGTTGGGTCAAGTCTAAGGCTTAATACATTGCAAGACAAGACTAATGCTAGTTGTGTTGGGTCGAGACTAAGGCTTAATACATTGCAAGACAAGACTAAGGCTAGTTGTGTTGGGTCAAGTCTAAGGCTTAATACATTGCAGNCCCTCCTGTCCTTGACATGCCTCTCCCTCCTGTCCTTGACATGCCTCTCCCTCCTGTCCTTGACATGCCTCTCCCTCCTGTCCTTGACATGCCTCTCCCTCCTGTCCTTGACATGCCTCTCCCTCCTGTCCTTGACATGCCTCTCCCTCCTGTCCTTGACATGCCTCTCCCTCCTGTCCTTGACATGCCTCTCCCTCCTGTCCTTGACATGCCTCTCCCTCCTGTCCTTGACATGCCTCTCCCTCCTGTCCTTGACATGCCTCTCCCTCCTGTCCTTGACATGCCTCTCCCTCCTGTCCTTGACATGCCTCTCCCTCCTGTCCTTGACATGCCTCTCCCTCCTGTCCTTGACATGCCTCTCCCTCCTGTCCTTGACATGCCTCTCCCTCCTGTCCTTGACATGCCTCTCCCTCCTGTCCTTGACATGCCTCTCCCTCCTGTCCTTGACATGCCTCTCCCTCCTGTCCTTGACATGCCTCTCCCTCCTGTCCTTGACATGCCTCTCCCTCCTGTCCTTGACATGCCTCTCCCTCCTGTCCTTGACATGCCTCTCCCTCCTGTCCTTGACATGCCTCTCCCTCCTGTCCTTGACATGCCTCTCCCTCCTGTCCTTGACATGCCTCTCCCTCCTGTCCTTGACATGCCTCTCCCTCCTGTCCTTGACATGCCTCTCCCTCCTGTCCTTGACATGCCTCTCCCTCCTGTCCTTGACATGCCTCTCCCTCCTGTCCTTGACATGCCTCTCCCTCCTGTCCTTGACATGCCTCTCCCTCCTGTCCTTGACATGCCTCTTCCTCCTGCCCTTGACATGCCTCTTCCTCCTGCCCTTGACATGCCTCTTCCTCCTGCCCTTGACATGCCTCTTCCTCCTGTCCTTGACATGCCTCTCTCCTCTACCCTTCAGTGAGTTTACCCTCCCCCACTACTTCTTCAGTGAGTGAAGTCTCGCATTACTTGACCCCAGCAAGTAGTCGAGTCCTGCATGTAAATGATTCATTACGAGAGGGTTCGCTGTCATACTACTTCAAATCACCTAGCCGCACGAACGATGAACGGAGCTTCTAGTTGGCTACAGTTCTCGAGAAGATGGATTTCTAGGGTAAAATCCGTGACATTAATTACGCTATGAAATGGCTACGAAGAGTGTACTTTTGGTGCCACTTCTTTTATTTGGCACGTCCGCCAGATCCACCCAATCTGTTCCTGCCTCATACCCGTTATTGTGTTACGCGGTCCCCAAACATGGCCTCTGTACTCATCATCATTCCGAGAAAGTGATCGAATTTCTTCTCTTCAATTTCATTGCCATCCATTGCTAGGTAGGGTGACAATTGAACTAGGTGCTAGGATGTAACTTGTTCCTGCATCTTTTGGTGCCGTTGAATTTCATGTTATTTGCACGGGTTCAGTCGTATATTGCGGAACGGTCCGCTGCCTTTTCTATCAGTTCAGCCCGTCTGTAATCTTTATCCACTTTCTTGTCTTGCCCAATAATTTCGATATAGAAGCTGGGCTGTGATCCACATATGTAGCTCTCCATGTTCTCTGATCTAAATTCCATATTTTTCAATTCAATCCCTCTGCGCAACCCCTTTTCTTGCTGGATTCCATTATCTTGTCTTTGCATAAGTAGTTGCTGGACGCTGCTTCAAGCTCAGCTCCCACCACTTCACAACTGTCCCGTTTGTCTCATCTTTGAAATCATTATTTTTTAGAGACCTAATTGGAGCCATTGAACTACGCCTATTTTTTTAATTATTGCTTATTTCTATGATTCTATCCTTTCCTCCATCCTCGGCTGCTTTTTTGTCAGACTTATGTGAGTCTAGCAACAGAGGCACGTACAATATTGTACCTTAACACATAAGGTGCGGTACGACCCGACCCAACGGTATGAAATATGGCCTGAATACGACATAGCGGCACTTAACGTGTTAAGCGCATTAACTAGTCTGAGAATGGACACTTACTGCTATCCCGTGTTACACAAGTACCTGTTACCCTGTGTAACAACAGTCAATATATCCCCGTGTAACAACCCTCACTCTTATTTGTTTTCAGACGACTACCGCATGTTTGCCGGTGACCTGGGCAACGATGTGACGGATGAGCTGCTCACAAGGACCTTCAATGGCTACCCTTCCTTCGTCAAGGCCAGGGTCGTGAGGGACAAGTTCACCAACAAGAGCAAGGGTTATGGCTTCCTTAGCTTCAAGGACCCTGACGACTACACGCGGGCCATGAAGGAGATGAATGGTGGGTTATGGTGGGTGGTGGGTTATGGTGGTTCATTGTGGATGCTAGCCGCTGGTAGGTGGTTGGTTGGTCGTGATAGGTCATGGTGGGTGGTTGGTTATGCAGAGTTGGTCCAATTGTTCGGTGGTGGGTCGTGTTTTGTCCTAGGTCATGTTGTATGATGGATCCTGTTGAGTGCTTTTTTGCACCGATGAAGTAACTTTGGCTTAAGCTTCCTTATTTATTGCTTTTTTGTTTAAATCCAATAAACTAAAACACCTCCTAGTAGAATAACCACGGTCCATTTGAATTCAGTATCACACCAAAAATATCAATATACTCTATATACCTGGCGTTTTTATTAGCTATAATACAGGCCATATATAAAATAATAATTCTTTCTATGTGTAATTCATATATGTATAATTAATTAAACACCAAGAACAGCAATAAATTTTTCATGTTTATCTCATAACATGACACACACAACAGACATGTAAGTTTGTCTCATCACACAACACATACACCTATAAGAGACACGTACGTTTGTGCCATCACTCGATACGCATATTTGTGCTATTAACGACATAAAAAATGTGTATGATTGTCTTATCACACAACACATATTAAAGACTCGTATATTTTTCTCATCACACGATGCATAAAAAGTATGTAACACATGCCGGGTGTGTGCAGGGCGCTACGTGGGGTCGCGGCCCATCAAGCTGCGCAAGAGCCAATGGCGCGACCGCAACCTCGACGTCATACAGAAGAAGGTGGCAGAGAAGCAACTCCTTGGACTCAAATAAACTTATATTATTTGCTGCTCCTTCTCTTCAAATAATGTCAATTTTATTGGGCTCTACCCGGGCTCAAGTGATGGTGTCAATATTATTGGGTTCTCATCCCACTTTATTATATCAATATTATTGGGCTCTCCTCAGGCAGCAATAAATCAAATGTTATTGTGCGCTCTTTGGACTAGAAAAATCACAATATTCTTTAGTGCTCCTTGTGCTTAAATAATGTCAAAAATATTTGCTACTCTTCCGGGTCAAAAGACAAGATATTATTGGCTTCTACTCGGGCTCAAAAAATCAAATATTGAGCTCAGCTTGGACTCAAATAATGGCAAAATCATTAGACGTTCCTCAGACTTCATAAATCTTGTCACTCGAATACCGTCAATATTATTGAATGGTCCTCGTGCTTAAATAATGTCAATATTATCAGTTGTTAATCGGCTTTGAACAATATTCAATTTTTTTCTGCGTTTTAAGAGATATTTTTAATTTTATTGTGTGAGGTAGCACGTCATAACCCTCGTTCACATCTAACTTGATTCAATTCTGTGTCGTTATGCTTCAACTCCCTTTACCTGCTGGATCTCGTCTCGTCTTTGATACGTGAGAAATGAAAGCTCGCTATTCAATAATGCAGTACAATTTACACTAAATTAAAATGTGCACTAAGACCGTACGCTTATCATTATCCATGACAACAAGAATAACACGAATAGTGATGGCTAAAATGACAACAGGGTGTCTAGCTTTCTGTTCTCGACACACAACAGAACTACAGCGTTCGCCTCTCTCAAACTTACATTAGTCACGATATTATTTTATTGTATGGAAAACATAATCTAATTTACCGAGTGTGAGTACATCAATTCAGTGTCTTAACACTTTATCACCACACACGTGACATGTGCTGTTGGGAGCCTACATCAGTCAAACATCTTGCATGCCATCATCAACCCACTCGTGACATTCGCTGTTCTATGCCGTCTTCTTTCAAGCTTGTTGCTCGCCATGCTGTTGTTTAACTGCCCATCCTGGGAGTGGCGACCACGTTGATGGGTGATAGATCAGTTTTTCAGAGCACTAAAGCCATTGGTAGTTTCAAGGCCCTCACTGGCTTGCTGAACCGCCAAAACCATTTTTGTTTGCATTAAACAACACCCTGGGCAAGCCAGGCACAAAATTTATCAATCATTGGATGGATGGTGGAGTTAGCAATGAGCTGAAAGAACTTGTCTTTATAGAGTGTGGAAATCGTCTGTAGGAAAACTTTTCCTGCATGCGGTCTGCGAATACTCAATCGTATTCCTGAAAGGGAATTCCTTCGGTGCCAGGATATCCGGAACAGAAAGATAGAATAGAAGTGTCGGCGTTGAAGAAATAGGCCCATGGCCCGTTGCCGATTCTTGAACTATTCGTGACTTGATTCACAAGGGACCCGGCCTTTGGAACCCGATCTTTCCATAGCTGACGATTGATTGAGATAGCTGCTGGACTTATTGCCTGGTCCGTAATTTGCTAGGCATTTTAAGACTGAACATATGCTCCTGCATAGCTTCGTCTAGTCTGTTTTTGAAGAAAGATACTCGAAGTGAACATTATACAAGCAGGTTGACTTCCACATCCGAGATATTTTTGTTGGAAAATCGTACACCTCAGTCGATAAGACATGAGTCGTTGAAATTTCAGATCTCCAATAAAAAGAATGCTCGTTTTCTTTGTTAACCCTAGTAGTTGTAATGACTATTGAATGTGCAAAATGGCTAGTAATTTTTTTTATAACCAGTAGGGTAACGAGGGGCAAAGGGACCACTGTGGGTCATGGGCCCACAGCGGGTTTCCCGCTAAGTATGACAGATATTGTTCCGTGCACTCTACCGCCGGTCGACAGTTTCACTGAGCTGAAGTGAATCAGAGTGGCTCTACGTTTTGTTAAGAGTTCGCGTTGATAAGTTACTCGCAAATAACTGTTTTAGCCCTGATAAAAGTTTTTTTGCTGCTAGATAAACAGTTTTCGATTACTCTATATGAAGCTTTTGAAAGTACTATGAATTATATTTTGGAAGTATTATTTATAGGGATAATTTTGAGTTAAAGTTTAGACTATTTCAAGGTTTGAAAATGAAATGTTGATACGATATAAATTGAAATGATACCTAGTGAGGCAACGGGCCCACGCGTGTCACGGGGTAAAGCGTCATGGCTCATTACCCCTCTGTGAAGTCTTATGTTATACATCATTAGAGAGGAGAAATTTCTTTAGTGAGGAGAAGTCTTATAGTAATATAGTAATGTCGGCGCTAAGGAGTAGGCCTGATGTGGCCTGTCGCCGATACTTGAACTTTTCCTGACTTGTTCACAGAAGATCTAAAATCGTGTCATTTGACCGATTTTTTTAAGACACGATAGTTTGAAATAGCTACTAGACTTCCACCGGGTTCGACATGGTGCTAGGCATTTCAAGTCTGAACATATATTTTTCCATAGCTTTATCTAGTCTGTTCTTGAACCGTGAACGCGTTCATACTCGGAGCGCCAACGATGTAATCAGGGAGGTTGTTGCCCATCGGAGCCTCGTGGCGAAGCTCATCTATCTTTGCTTCTTCACTAGTAAACACTATAGATCTACAATATTTGGGGGTCTGTTTACCCCTAAAATGGGTTGGCTTGGTGATGTTCTGGATTAAAAATGAGTCTCGCACAGACTCCAAGAACAGGGATGCTGGGTGATTCCCATCTCTTGGAGAGGATTCATCTGCCCAGTCTATTTCTAGATGGTTAAAAGTCACCAACGATCAACGTATGCGACCTGCTGAAAGTCATGCTCGGTAAAAGGCTATTTAGCACTTTATTGTTATCAGAGGAACTGTTTGGTGATCTATACACGACGCCTATGAGAATAGATCAATCAGTTTGGCATCGGTCGGATGTTACCCTATGGCCTATAAGAAGTGGTTTAGGGAAAGGTGTCTAAAAACATAGATCAATCAGTTTAGCATCGGTCGGCGACTCAGTGCCGGTATAATTTTTATCCATTCTAGTTTATCTTTTGTTCAGCAAAAAACGAGGGCTGGGCTATATGACTTGCGTGCGTGCATTAAATGATGCACTCAAATGTAACTTTTTGTAATTTGGCTTAAATGAACCAAGTTCAACAACCATTAGATTTGACTTTTTGAATAATGGCGTCAATCTCTGCCGACCTTCGATGCAGTGAGGACAATGAACATAGTTTCAGCCTGAATATATTATTTCTTAATTTAGTCGGCAATTTTCGACTAGAACCTGTATCAGCTATGTATTTAGAACCTTGGTTTATAAATATTTGTTAGTAATATTCCAGTGGTTTCGAGACGCTAACTGTTGAACTTGAACGTGACCTATTTACAACTCTTATCTTTAACTTCACTCCTTGTTGTTTGTTTGTTTGTTAGTTTGATTGGTTGTTTGTCTGCTACAATTCTTGTAATCAATATTTAGCACACTTCTACATGTCCAATCGATCTGAAATTTTGCACACTTGCGTAAAGTCTGATACAATGCATGACGCTATTGAAAAAGTTGTCGTGGGTATAGTGGTAAGAAAAAGGATGAATAAGAACGATAAATGAAAACTATAATAAGCAAACGACAATTACAAATAAAGACAATATAACCGTGTGTTCCCTTTGCTCAAGTTCTTACTTTCGGTCTCAAGATTCGGAGCCTTCCTGAAATTAATAAATAAGCGAAAATTTAGAACTAGCAATATTTGAGCAACAAAAGCAGAATATTACGTTAGCCAGATAAATAAATTATAGACTGATAACCATAATCATGAACAAATCTAAACATCACCACTGAATTGCAACAGAAAATTATCACAAAATAAACAGACCAAATGAAAAAGTAACGCGTACCTCCGTGGTGGATAATATAGCAATGAACAAGTTTCGGTGCTTATCTGAACGAGGTCACGTCCGAGGTGACTTAAAACCAAAAATCCAAAATATCTAACTGTAAAATAGCGCTATTACACTACGTACCCCAACAAAGTAAACAATTTTAAAATAAAAAAATTGTTTAATAATAAAAAAATTGTAAAAATAATTTGTTTAATAAAAAAATAAAAAAATTTAAATAAGAAATTAATTCTACATTGTGTAATATCAGGGACACTGGCCTCTTTAGAAGTGTTGTCTTTAACTAAAAAGTAATTTTTAAATGCATATTATGTAAATTAATACCAAAATCAAATACTAAATTTTTTGAAACGTTCACTACAAACCCACACGTAAAAACAAAGTGTTGTTCTAACGAAAACTGACACCATTTAATTCGTTAAAATGTTCACGTCAGACGAATATGACTAAAACAATATGTTCTGTTAAGCTAACCTCTTAACCCCTCGCCGCTCGAAACGCCAATAAAATATTCATATTTTAATCAGAATGTTTCCAAAGTTTTTGACCACGGCCATGTGATTTTCTGAAGAAAATGAATGCGCCTTCTCATCAAAGTTATAATTTTAAACTGCAAAGTTTCTTGCGACGATGAGCTGCCGTCACGCTATGAGTGGTCGGACTGCGTGTCGGACCACGATCGGTCCGCACTCGCGCTGCTGGTGGACCAGCGGGATGCCGAGGTCTGTCCAGAGGCCGTAGTATAAAAACTTGAGTACACATAGCGGTTTAAGTACATGTGGCGGCCTAAGTACACGTGTCGGCCTAATTACGCGTAGCGACCTAAGTAAATGTAGCGATCTAAGTACGCGTAACGGCCTAAGTGCTCGTAGCGGCTTAAGTGTACGTGGCGGTTTAAGGACACGTAGCGTCTAAGTACACGTAGCGACCGATTTCTCGTCGGCGCCATTTCTGGGTTTAGTTTGGAAAACCGTTAGTGATTGGCCGACTGAATTACGAAGTCGTAACTATTTTTGATAGTACGTCTACAGTAGTTTTCAGAAGCTCCTTTCCTACACTGAAGTAGCGCCCAATTTACGAGTTTGTAACTCTGTCAGCCAATCCCTGACAGCTTTTCTAGCTAAACTCTCCAGTCACAGACGAGAAATCTGCCGCTACGTGTACTCAGGACGCTACGCGTAATTGTAATTTCAGTACTGTATTTTACCATTTGTAATAATTTTCTAGGCAAAGAAGAAGACGGTTGCTGTAAGTGGGTCGGTAATGACCACAACGATAAATGCTCGAGCAGACGCAGCTTATTAATTCAAACCTTGGATGAAAAAATATTAAATTATGCGGTCGCTGAAAGCAAGTCCTGGTCAAAATTCGACCCCATCATCAAAGTTTTTCGTTTTTGGTTATTTATCTCTACTCTTGACGACATTTTGCTGCTTGCTCCTTATCCTGGAGTGTGAAGGACGCTTCAAAGCTTGGAAGTCGGTGGCGGTGAACACGACTTTCCTCGCGACGATAGCAGTGCAGAAATCCAGTTACATCCTCCGCTCCATCGTACAATGCATGAACCGGGCCACGACTTTGGACTGGGTTTACGTAGCCTGTTACACGCCCATGCAGGACGGGTGGGAATGCTCTCTCTGGGGATATGAAGCCTCAGTTAATCTTCCCGCGGATTCAGGAACACAACAATCCCAGTGCAAGCTCTTTTACCATGATGATGGTGAGTGCAGCGAACATCGAAGCGGGTGCAGCGCTTTATTATTATTTGCTTGAAAATAATTGAAGAGGTTATTTATTTGCTGATTTATACATTTATATATGGAAGAAACTAATATTATGTTTTTAGTAACTCTAACGTGTCCATGTTTTCCACCTCGAGGCTGCGTGCTGGCGAACGGGTCGCTGGTGGAGCCTGGGACGACGTTCCCCAGCGCTCAGTACGCCGACGTCTTCAACGTGTGTCAGCTCAACGGACACGTCCGGCGTAAGAAATTATTTTTATATTTCTGTTTTGTTTCTATTATTTCATTAATAAATTTCTAGCTGAACATCTCACACAGTTTTTATGTATACGATTTACTAATTACTTAACTTATTAAAGATGAGTTGGTTAGCTTATTGTGCTACAATCAAGGTCTTACCATATAACGGCTCCTTTCTACTCTCTTTCAGCACAGTAGTAATCAGCCTTAGTTCAGTTCCTATTTAAACTTAAAGTTCATAACAAAATCGATTGAAAATATTAGCTGATTGACTAGCGTTGAATTGAACCTCTCAATAAGGATTAACTGGTAATCTTGTTTATTGTATCTCTAATGTTTTTCTAGAACTGTTGAAATTTCGAATACTATGAAATGGTTTAAAACGAATCAATAATTTGTTTGCCTTCAGAAATGTGTGAGTTCGAAGGCCAGCTCTACAATCTGAACGAAATGATCGGGTGCCTTCTCTGTACCATTGTCGGCGTCACGTACGGTGGTAAGTCTTGATATAATTAGATTTTATTGTTCTTAATCTTAACTACTGCTCAGCTTTCGATATACTTAATTATATTTAATCTCATCATCTTATGAGATGTCGGTGCGCTCTCACCAATTGACTTGACTGATGATATGTCAAGCACATCGGTCAATTGAATGTGAAGAATGGGTTAAACCCGATGATGTCATACGGGTGATGGGTTAACAGAAGTTATTATGACGATGTTTTAAAAATACACTTTCGCTCCATCTAATAATCATCGCCTATGGACTAGACAAATTACTATGATTTTTATTCCCGATTTACATATTACATTTATATAATTATTTGTCTCACTCATTAGTTTACTCGCATATATATGCCTATTCTCATAAATTTGAACTTTCGCCATTTCAATAAACTCTGATAATTCTAGATTTCTAACGATGTTTCACCGTTCCCAAACCTTTGTATAATTTAGTACGTATAAAAGGTCTCCAACAATTGTACGTTACCACCACAGAAAGGGAGTCAAGGCATACAAATCAATGGTAACTAAGATACCCATAGCTGGCCGAGGTTGCAGCAGTGGGCCACGTCCAAGACCTTGGTCTACATACAAAAGGGTATTGCATAATTAGCTGAATGTTGATTTTCGACGCACTCACATTCCTCCAAATTTCTGCTGAATGTTAGATAATATCAGTAAAAACATCTATCAGTGAAATTACTGTTTGATAGTCTATTATATCAGTGAACTTAAGTGTCTCAGAGTGTACACGACATATTTCTGAGTGCAGTCACAAATATTTGGGATACGTTGAAATTGATGTGAGTAATCGCTTCTGGGTTGTTAGTATGTCAACTACATTCAGATACGTAATAAAAATTATTGAAAAGTGTCCACCCTCATGTTCAGACAACAGGCAAGAGTCCTGCTATAATACAACTCATGATTTTGTAAATGAGGTTTGACTGGATATTTTGTTGATGGATTAGCATTTGGATTTTAGATTAGTTCCCGATCGTACGAACAATGTTTATTTGGTCGACGTTCAGTCGTCTGGGTCGCGGGTTCAAAGGCAACGAGTTTTATTAACACTGCTAAGTCCGAGGCAAGAGTTACTGCTGCTAATGACATGCGCAGCGGCCAATTAGTTATCTGTAATAACATAATGTACAGAGTTGTAAATTAGTACTCTTTCGTGTACTTTATATTAATATAAATTAACATGAATCAAAATTAACGTAAATAGATTTTTTTGTACAAGATATTATTATAATAAATATTAATTTATAATTAGAGCTCTTGGAGCCCAGGAGCGTCGTTGTCTGAGATTTCGGCCTAGCGAATATTATCTTCATTATAGAAAAATTATGAAGTCTCCAGTAAGCAAGTTAATAATGAATATGTGTCATGATATGACTATAATATTTTACATCATTACAGAAACACTTTCTAAGCATACCTTTGCCCAGTACATATCGGAAATTATTATAGAAGAATTCTGATGGGATCCTCAGTTATTACTTTCGTGTGGTGCCCGTTAAAAGTTGTACGAATTATAAACCTGGTCCAGAAGCTCATACAACTATATCCATTTTATATATCTCGATATAAAAGTCTGACTTAATTGACTAACATTCTTGTTCAAAGTTCAGGTGATTGCCTTGTATGTGTGTTCAAAGTTGAACCCAATAAGCCTATAGGCTCTGCTGCAGCGAATGAAAAATGTCAATATACAACAATTCAACTACAAACACACGCCCGCGGAACTTGATCAATTATTTTATGATTTTTCTATTGCATTATAAGATTCGTCTGCTGCATTATATGATTCATCTGATGCATTCCACGATTCATCTGATGCATTACAATTACATGATCCTGATCATGCAATGCGTCTTCTTCTGAATCATGTAATGCATCAGACGAACCATGCAATTCATCACACAAATGAATCGTGTAATGCAACGAATGATTCATATAATGCATCAGACGAATCATGTAATGCATCAGACGAATCTCATAATGCAACAGACGGTTTAAAAAATAATTGACCAAGTTCCTCGGGCGTGTGTTTGTGGTGGTTACTGTTCACTACTTCGACCGTAATGCTGGGAGTTACTTCAACCGTAATCTTCATCCGTAATGGTTAAAGCCAACGTTACCGGGCCTCGTCTCGGGATGCAAATTGAAACATGAGTAACTTACTTAAAATTTCATCAACTAAAACAGTGAAAAAAAAAGAGAACAAAAAGTCAGGTTGTCAGGTGCCTTGGGGTTGCCGAGATGCATGATTTCGCCAGGATGCAAGGTTCCACTAGGATACAAGGTTCAACCATGATGCAAGGATCCACCAAGATGCAAGGTTCCACCAGGATGCAAGGTTCCATGCAAGGTTCCACCAGGATGCAAGGTTCAATCAGGATGCAAGGTTCCACCAGGATGCAAGGTTCCACTAGGATACAAGGTGAATAAAGTAGGTAATATTGAACATGTATTATGCATAGATGTTAAGAATGCTGAATGCTAAGAATGCGGGTCGAAGCTATATAGCAAGTGTGTTAGGTTGTTTCGAGACCGTGGGAAGAATTGAACGTTGGCGAGGGAAATTCCATTCGAAGGAATGTGGCGTCACTTCGAGGGATAGGCGTAACAGTGCGCGACACTAGCGTATATAAGGATCTCAAAATTGGCGCCAAGGGTTGTTGGTGCTAAGGAGGTGACCGTCGCGCACGTACGGTCTGCTGTCAGCGGACTTTGCGACGGCCGCGGCCGTGAGGCCGGCGGTGTTGCCGTTGTCGAACATTGACGGTTGAGAGGTATCTAGACCCATCGTGACGGCTACGATTTCTGTAAGCGCGTCAAGAAAATCAACATCAACACTACGGTTGCGACTCAGCCGTGAGACAACGCGAGAGAGCCACGAGTTGTACAACGATTATAACGCACGTCATCAGAAGATCTAAGTTCCGAGCTCTACACCAAGAATCATCATCGGTATATATTATTCAAGATCAAGAATCATCAATATCATCAAGAATTATCAATAGTGCGGTCACTATTTTCATCAGAAGAAGCGGTACGGTCACAGTCATCTCGACCGCAGTACGACAACGGAGTTGGAGTATTTTCATCGATTATGAAGACGAGCACCACTATTCCGAAGTGTGGTCATCATAAACTCTACGGTTAGACCGGCCGCGAGACATCACTATAGCGCGAGAAATACGGCCATGAAGAAAGAGCAACTGTGGAAGCGGACGCGAGAATACAGCAGCGGTACGGCCGCTCAACCTACGGCCGCAAAGTGTGCGTGTACAACACGGTCGTTTACAACGGACGTACGGCTCAACGGAACTGCAATTTATCAACGTTCTGGTAAATAGAGAGATTTTTAACGATGTTAACTGATAGGCTTTAGACTTTTGATTGCGATCAGATTACATTTTTCAAGTACTAGAGATTTTTGTTAACGTTTGATGTGAACTTGAATTTCTCAATTTAATATGGAATGTATCCGTGTTTCATTACAACCCTCTCTTTGTACTATATTTTGCCGTAACCTTTCCAAAAAGAGAACCTTTTCATACGTGCCAATCAAGCGCCACTCGGCGTCCACCTGACAAAACGATCATAAGTAAATGAATACCGGTATCTTGAACCTGAACCTGATCGTAACGTAAAATTGGTGGAGTAATCACTCCGAGTGTCCAACAATAAACTATATATGAGACGATAAGAAAATAATTTCTAATCTCTCTCTTTTATTTTTTTCCTATCTAATCATAAATGCTCAGAGCGCCAGTCAGGAAGATGAAGAGCCAGTACAGGTTATCGTGGTTGAGTATATAGCTCTTGGTGGCCAGTCTGGGGGTCGATCTGTAGCAACAAGCGAGAGAGCTAACAATCACCAATCTATGTTATATAGCCAAAGGGTATGATTGCCAAATAGGTAGGCGAGGAATGTTAGCCAAAGCCTACCTCTATAGTAAGCGAGGTATTGTAAACCGAAGTAACCAAGATATTTTAACAACAGTAACCGGAATATTACAACTGCAGTAACCGAGTTACATCAGAAATCGTGATGATTCACTACCCAAAGTCCCTTGTTTTAACAGATACTAGTCGTCGTCGCGTATTGGACGTCGCGCTGCCGCCGAGGGACACGTGCTGCTCTCAGGCAGCAAACGGATACTGTCTGGTAAAAGTTGATATAATTTCTTAATAAAAATCAGAATAATATAATAATATGTCCATGATTTAACTCATGCTCATTGTGTATTAGTTTTGATTGAGTGCAAGTGAGGTTAATTTTAATTTCTAAATTCAACCAAAAGGTGGGATTTCATTTAAAATACACATGTAACTTTGATAGATCGATTTGAGTAATAACATAACATAGTGATGTCGGCGCTGAAGTGTAGGCCTGATGTGGCCTGTCGCCATAATGATTTATTTGTGCGATGTAAACCTTTTAAACTGAATCATAAACTGCACAATCAATACTGTTCTATGAA